AAATGAGAAACATCATTTGAGAAAGTTATGAAGTCTCCTTCCGGTGAGTGCAGCAAAATTATTTGATTAGCCAGGATTATTTTTACTACCTCATCAAAAATTTCGCTTCCTATGCTTACTTAGCTTACTTACTCTGTTTTCAAAAAATCTACAAATGCGAACTCACGCCTCGCATTTGTAGATTTTTTGAAAACAGAGTAAGTAAGCTAAGCGAACTCACGCCTCGCATTTGTAGATTTTTTGAAAACAGAGTAAGTAAGCTAAGTAAGCATAGGAAGCGAAATTTTTGATGAGGTAGTAAAAATAATCCTGGCTAATCAAATAATTTTGCTGCACTCACCGGAAGGAGACTTCATAACTTTCTCAAATGATGTTTCTCATTTCTGTGGATACTCGAGACAAATGTCAGACATCAAACACACATTGTGGATTTAAAAAAAATTCCCCTCACTACTCAAGCTATTCAAAAGCTTGAATTATCAAAATAGTGTGCTTGCAGTGCCGAGAAAATGCGGTAAAATTAGCGCATGAATAGATATCGTTCGTTCTCTGAATAAGAGAGATGAGCACGCTTTGCGTACGTTTGTTTGGCAAACGGATGAGTTCTAATGCGTTTTGGTTGATTTAGTACCAGGTTACGACTGATTTTACCCTATTTTCGCATTCAGATTTTTACTCACGAAAACCTTCATAACTCCTCGCACAGAAGCCCGCAGCAGATAGCAAAGGTAGATTTGGAATCAGCGTTCCAAGCTCTACAAAGCAGTATACACCTCATTTCGAAAGGCCACTTCGACCAACCTTCCTTCCCTTGTGAGTGTAGGCGTGCCAAAACCAACACCAACTCCTGATCCTACTCGCTTCATCAGAGAGTCTGTAAGCGCGGCCGCAATCGGTGGTTTTTAAAGGATTTCGAAAAAAATCAACAACTATGATAGTTCGCAATCATATGGGCATACAAAAAAAATTCAGTTTTTTTGTATCCAAAATAACGACAATTTTTCGGTCTTCATTTTCCAATGCCAGGAGCTTTTTATCACGATCACCATTTTTGACATAAACAAAGACTCAAAAGCAGGTTCTTTAGCGGTATGTGAGAAAAGCATTTTCCAAGCAGCATGCATTAGTGATTGTTAGTGTTAAGCTAAAAAGTTCATGCGAAATCTTTTGAAATAAGAAGTAAAGGTAAGACAGAAGTGAATAATTTTGTAGCTTTCTCCTTCTCAGGCGTGTTTTTCTTGAAAATCCTTTTGTTTTTTCAAAAGTAACTTTCGGGTTGCCTGTTGCATTTCTGTTCGAAAACTTGTCCTCAACGACATCCGCAACTGGCACTCGCAATTCATGGAATTAATGGATCTTATGATGTTGCAGTAAAGACTTATGGCTATAGTTAGCTGCGGAAGAACAAGAATAAGCGAGATGGATTTCTTTTTGAGTTGAAAAACGGATTGTCAAACTAGCACAAAAATCATCAAAACTCTTGTGTTCTTCCTTTTTGTTAAATGGTACTACTGAAAAATCTCTTGTTACGTCAAAAGATCGTGTTTGAGGTCGTTGAACAACCCGAGTTCGAACATGTCCTTTTACGACTCCCTAATAGTAATTTACAAAATTGTGTCTCTTACCAGGGAAGGCACCTTGGTCGAAGTGGGCATGGGAAGTGATGCATGTTAATAGACAGTTCTTCGAACGCGATCTCAAAACTGTCTCCGCTATTTGCGGAGCGTTTCTGCAAAGGAGCCATTGTTTTCAAAGATGGCCTTCCCTTTATGAAGGCGCAGCAAGGCGTTTCATTGTTGTCGCGTGGTATAGTGGAGAATTTCTGCGGTTTAGATGTTTGTGGACAGAGTTCGAGTCCCGTTGTCGTCCAGCAATTTTGTATTTATTGCTTGCCTTTGAAAATGCCATATATGGACGGCCTTACTCATATAGTATTCTTAGTTCTTGTGCGTTCGTAATACAAAACGCGCTTATTCTTAACGCTCCTAAAAGAGGCAAGAGATTGGCTATTAAAGCTATTGCCTTTTTGGACATTACTAGGGCAGCTTTTTAACTGTAGCTAAAGAAGTGGCCACATTCAAAAACGATCACTTGTAGAGATTACGATAAACTGTTCATATGTGGCAAAGACAAGCAATGATTCTAAAAAATAAATGCAAAACTGCTGGGCGACAACAGAACTTGAACCCTGTTCACTCATCACTAAACCGCAGGCACACTTACCGCTACACCACACCGCCATAAGAAAATGCTTTGCCGAGCCTTGGTAGAAAGAAGGCGATTTTTAGGGAATCCAGAGGCTCATATCCTTTTACAGTAACGCTCCGCAGATAGCGAAAACAGTTTTGAGATCAGCGTTCGAAAGCTGTCTAAAGGAGCCTCCAGACCGCACCGGGACCGCGCCGGTTGTCGCTTTTGCAGCCGGTAGCTGCTTTCGCGCCGGTTACCGTTATTGCAGCTGAAACGCGCTATGTAAGATTTTGTCCTTGGAGCGTAGCCTATTGGCGCTAGATGCTAGGCTTTTCGATTTCTTTGTCATCACTCTTTTATTTCCAAAGTTCTCTTCTTTGCTGTAGTAATTCATTGCAGATATGGTTCACTTGATTTGGATTCCTTTTCTTTCGGTCGTCTACAATGCTGAATAAATCGATTCATTGTCGAGTGAAACCCTTTTAGTCTAAATCCCGCTGTAGAGCTATGCTGGATTGCAAGGCAAGGCCTTTTCGACGTCTATCTCGTTTTGAAACTGGTTTACTATGCTGGATGAGCAAGTGCGAATGTGCTTTCTTTGTTTTTGAAACTGTTCTATCGTGCCGTAGCAGCGATCTAGCTGCAGAACTCAAATTCTCTGTACTGTTTTTGCTTTTGGTACTTCACTACGCTGACTAACGATCTATTTCAAAGCGAATTTATTTGGTGCCTTCTCCTTCTCCTCTCAAGGTATATACTTTTACTTCAGCATAGCAAAATAGCTAACCTTGAGTAGTTAAACTTATATCAGTAAGTGTACTCAAGCAGTATAGTAGAGAGTAGAGTAGCTTTGAAATTAGAAGTGCAAAAAACAGTGTTTGCGATGATATCGTCCACTAAGCAGACCAACCTCAATTTGGAAAAGACATCGAGAAACCTTGCCTGCATAGCAGAGCGATATCATCAAAACGAAAGCTGTGCAAAAAAATAGCATTCCGCAAAGATTTATTAGCTCCCAGATTTGTGTGGAGGCGGGTTGCGGGCTTTCCCTGATCTCAGTGGTAAAGTTAACGAAAGAGTACGAAAAATAATGCAGCATGAAGTTCCAACAAGTTCACACTTACATTCAGGGAAGTCCGCAACGCGATGTCCTTAATAGAAGTAGCATAGTTCAAAACTAAAGACAAATTTAAAGAAACATTGTTCTACGAAATTGATCAACTACCGTAAAAGAATAGCCTTGAAACGAATGAAAAACAAATCGCCGTTCATCACTTTTTTGCCTAAAGAAGCAACTCTACAGCAGGAGGTAGATTGAATATTCGACAATTAATCGATTACTCCAGCATCGTAGAACCTCCAATGAATTACTTACGGAAAGAAGAAGACCTTGTAAAAGAGTAGTGGCAAAAGAATCGAAAAGCCTTGTATTTAGTGCCAATAGGCTCTCGCGACGCTCCACCCTAACAATATGCGTCATTTTCCATAGTCATTTCGACGAAGGTGTAGTTAGGGCCCGGGCAAACCTTACGCGATCTCAGCCGCGACGCGCTCCTGCAATACTCCAACCGTTTAAACTCATCCTAAGCGCATTCTGAATGAACTGAAGACGAAGCATTTTATCGATCTGCGAAAGTTGTACATAATATGAATTCGTAGTTTGCAGGCGTTGGATTTGAAGAGATATGGCATATGCCGGATCACGTGGGGGCTGAAAGAGCATGAGGTATGCCCGAGGCCTTGGTCAGAGGATGAATGATATAGCTAGTCTAGTGGCCGGTCATTTGCGCGCGCAAAATTCCGGAGGCACATCCCTTTACAGAAACTGCCGGAATTGCTACGCAGGTAGCGAAAGCAGTTTTGAGATCAGCGTTCGAAGAGCTGTCTACTACTACTACTTCAGTGGCAGGTCATTTGCTCGCGCAAAATTCCGGCATTACTGGCTTGGCTAATTGTTCACGTGAATATCTTACCGCGTTTTCCTGCACTGCAAGCGTACTAGATTTTAGCGAATAATTATCCGACTTTAATGTTCGATAAATAGTCAGAGTGGCTTTCGACTATTATCGAATATCAAAAAATATCAATAAATGATTAGTTTAAAACGTGAGCTGTTTGAGATTCGTAATTGCTGTATGGATTGATGGGAATTTTTTCGTTCCAACTTTCAGCGGCTCTCAGACCGAAAGCCACTCTTTCGACTAGTTATCGAATCAGATTTATTTCTGTTCATTATCGCCCTTAAAGGCAGCGTCCGGGCAAAAAGTCGATTTTGAGATTTTGTGCTTACCCGGGCCTATTCGCTATGCTGAATCCGAAAATCACCACTAGAGAGCGCGAAAGCGGCGAAAAAGGGGTCTAACGCAGGAGGAATATCAGCAGGGGGCGGAGCGTTCGAGAAGGTGGATTCTCGCTTCCAGCTTCCGGAGCAATCTTCTCGGTTCCGATCTCAAATCACTCGTTTGTACTTGGCCGGTAGCGATGTTAGGGCGACTAAAGGAACCGACAAGATTGCTCCGGAAGCTGGGAGCGAGAATCCACCATCTCGGACGCTCCGCCCCCTGCTGATTTTCCTCCTGCGTTAGACCCCTTTTTCGCCGTTTTCGCGCTCTCTAGTGGTGATTTTCGGATTCAGCATAGCGAATAGGCCCGGGTAAGCACAAAATCCAAAATCGACTTTTTGCCCGGACGCTGCCTTTAAGAAGTGTGGCTGTCCCGACATTCTATCCAGCAATACTTAATTTGTGAAGCACTTCAGCCTTTCACCACTATGTTACAGTGATCTGCGAGGTGTTCTGCAGCGATCCGTCATGCTGCAAGGTTCAAAATGGAACTCATAGTGGAAATCCTTGCAGGAACAAAGCGCGTTTTATAGCGGGAAGGTCGAAAACCTATGAAACAGTCAAAGGGAGTTGGAGTATAAGGGTTTGTTTCTAAAGTAAGTTTATGTTAATCTGATATCCGTTTTTATTTTTATTCTAGTATGGCACGGGAGACGCTGCGGGCTTTTTCGGCAGGGATACGGTACGTTTTGGCGCACCAGGTACTGACCAACTTGTTGTTCCTGGAACCACGTTTGGACAGGCCAAAACTATAGCAAACTTCTTCGCTAGGGTAAATACACCTTTTATTTCTATCATAACTAATTGTCTTGAAAATTCACCAAAGCTCTTGCAGACACACCATGATGGCATTTTGGGACTTGGATTTACCGAACTTGCAAAAGATCATGTTGTTCCACCACTTATTCGTGCTAACAGTCTTGGATTGCTTGACAAACCAATTTTTACGGTGTATTACAGCAGAAACGGATGTAGGTTTATCTATCTATGAAGATCACTGAGATCAGTAATCAGTATCATCTTATATATAGGGCTTATCAAATTGAGTGTCGTTTGCACTAGCATCTCCATATTCGCACATGTGCCCTAATCACTTCCAATCGATTGAGGCTCCACCTTTCCCACGCTCGCCCTGGGAAAGTGCTTAGAGAGCAGCCCCGCGGAAGAGACGCAGAGTCCAGCGCGAAGATGGAGATGCTGGTGCAAACGACACTCAATTTGATAAGCCCTATATAAAGCTGAATGTCTGTCTGCATGTATCTATGGACAGTGATCGCCAAAAAGTTGCGGACAAGCCGCCTTCCTTTTTCCTCGCTCATTTTCGGATGGAAAACAAAGATGAAAAAATGTTTGGATTGCATGAGGTGATAGAGCTCTTCAAGAGGTATGACCCATACATTGTGCTTTCTGGAAAACATGCATTTTAAAAATTTCAAAAATCTTCTTCTAAGAAGAATCCGAAAATGGCCGCGTCACAATGTCGCGGACAATTCTTCGAACGCGAAAATTTCCTTTTGGGTCCTATTTTCAAGTGGAAACGCAAGTAATCCGAATAGGTAAGCACACTACATTATAGAGCTCATCGAGGACAATAATCAGGTAGTGGTTATTTCCAAAAAAACCCAAACATGAATTTTATTTTGCTTTTTTTCAAAAAATAACTTCTAATTCTTTTTTCAATCCAAATCTCTTCACATGTAAACCTATTGAAGACATCCTAACAAAGCTGTTCGACTAAAATGGATGCTTTTTGCCATCCTGTATGCATCGGACGTGTGTTGGTAAGTTTCTTTGCTGAAAATGGCTCTTGACAGTGCGTGCACATAACCCCACCTGCACCTCACCACTGAATTGCACCGCTTTGCAGGCTTGTAGCTCGGCCGGCAGTCATTCTACGAGCCTGCAAGTAGGCTCATTCGAAAGAGCGTGACTTTCTCTACACGATGGTATGCAAACGAGTTCAGTTTCTGGAATAACAGAGATTTGGCGGATGGGGTGACAGAGCGCAGCTTCTGTGGTATGGTAAGGATTTTTCAGCAGGAAGTTGAGCAAAGCGCCTTTCGCTACTAGTTCCATTCTGGAAGTTCAAAACCGTCAATTTATATGTAATAGATCCATTTCAGGGCTCTAAGACTGTTCTGGCGTCAATAAGAGCTTTCACTCCAATCACCTCTAAAGCTGCGCTCTGTCACCCCATCCGCCAAATCTCTGTTATTCCAGAAACTGAACTCGTTTGCATACCATCGTGTAGAGAAAGTCACGCTCTTTCGAATGAGCCTACATGCAGGCTCGTAGAATGACTGCCGGCCGAGCTACAAGCCTGCAAAGCGGTGCAATTGAGTGGTGAGGTGCAGGTGGGGTTATGTGCACGCACTGTCAAGAGCCATTTTCAGCAAAGAAACTTACCAACACACGTCCGATGCATACAGGATGGCAAAAAGCATCCATTTTAGTCGAACAGCTTTGTTAGGATGTCTTCAATAGGTTTACATGTGAAGAGATTTGGATTGAAAAAAGAATTAGAAGTTATTTTTTGAAAAAAAGCAAAATAAAATTCATGTTTGGGTTTTTTTGGAAATAACCACTACCTGATTATTCCTCGATGAGCTCTATAATGCAGTAGGCTTACCTATTCGGATTACTTATGTTTCCATTTGAAAATAGGACCCAAATGGAAATTCGCGTTCGAAGAATTATTGTCCGTGACATTGTGGCGCGGCCATTTTCGGACTCTTCTTAGAAAAAGTTTTTTAAAATTTTTAAAATGCATATTTTTCAGAAAGCACAATGTCTGGGTTGTAGCTCTTGGTGAGCTCTATCACCATGTGCAATCCAAACATTTTTCATCTTTGTTTTCCATCCAAAAATGAGCGATGAAAAAAGGAAGACGGCTTATCCGCAACTTTTTGGCGATCACTGTATGTATGTATGTCTGTACTATTGATTCAACTGGCTGAGCTTCGGCAAAGGCGGGCTTCGTGACCTAATTAAGGCTGGGTAATGATCAGAGAGCACTCGCGGGCGAGAGACGCAGGTGCGTCGCGGGCGCGAGCGGACTGCCCTGACGGAGCTAAACCAGTTGAATCAAAGATATATTGTCGGCTCCCCAACTTTGGCGAGGCGGGATCGTGATCTTCACCAAAGATCGATGGATCAGGTATGCCTTAGCACAGGGCAACCGCAATGCAAGCCACGCTAGCGTAGCTCCGCCTCGCCAAAGTTGTGGAGCCGCTCATATATGTTCCGAATAGAAAATTCCATTTCTCAACCGAACCAAACTTGGTACACATACACTTCGGGGCGGGGCCGGTGTCGTTATCGATCGATTTCGATTTTATCGATTTTTATCGATTTCTTGCAAAGTTTGAGCTAGAGGGCTGGAAGTTGGCACAGGGGGTAAGTGGGCATGGCGATTCCGAATACAACACAAGGAACGGGAAATGAAGTGTAGAAGTGGACACGGGGAAAGGCTTTACAGGGATAGGGATGGGAACTTAATTACAGTGTATTGACAGGGCCGAGCGGAGCCGGGTAAGCAAGCTAGTTGATTTATAATATAAAAATCATAGTAAAATGAAACGCCTCGTATGCGGTAAAATTAGAACTTACCTTTGTTATTCATTAACCTCACTTGTCTGGGGTCCAGTGGTATGCAAAAGATGAGGACATGTCTTCTCATTTTCTTCTGCAACTTTGCTTGCCATTCATCCACTTTTTTCTCTGTTTTTCTAAAATCGCAATCAGCGTTTTGATAACCCTAACTCATCGATGCTTGAAAGCAAGATTCAAGCTGATAAAAATGCAGACTTTGCACTGGTTCAGTTTTTTCAGACATAAAAGACGTTTATGGAGGAACCATCACCTATGGTGGTTTAGACACTATAAATTGCGAGGAGGAGATTACGTACGTACCTCTATCAAGGGCGAAGTACTGGCAATTCAAGGCGAGCTTAGGTTCACTTTTTATTCCATTTTTTCACAAGCAGCCCAGTAGTTACGATCAGGAAGCAAGAGGCGTGGCACACTCTCCCTAAATACGATTCCCCCCCCCCCTCCTAATCGCTGTTTCAATACTACCCCCTAAGCTACTGAAACCTGGAACAGGCATAACTCAAAGGCTCCACCACGCATAATGAGTGCTATATGCATGATTCCCCCACAATGGTCGGTCGCCTCATCGTGGCGTGGGGGTGACACTGGGTGTCGAACTGCGATGCACAGCCGAATGTATACTCTGGTAGGGCCTCCCAAGCTGTGAAGGAGTTCGACGTTTCCGGTTTCGGCCGGATGCCTAGCTAAGAACTGGCCGCGCCAGATTCTCCGCCGTCTGGCTTCTTCTGGTCGCTAGGCGGTCCCTCCCCGCTCCAAGCCCGGGGTCAGCGATCACCCCGTGGAAATCAAGAGCAGGCCTAGTAAGCCACCTCTTGTAGGGGAACAAATTTATTACTCAGACAGCAAGAAGATTTAGAAAAAACCCTGTACATCGGATCCCGCCTACGGCGCCGGGTGGTAGCAAGAACGATGTCAGGGTACTCAGGGCGCCTTTCGGATTGGACAAAAACGACACGCCATGGAGACTGCCTCATGCTCTGCACTCACAACGCCAGGACAGTCTCCACAAACGCCGACCTCCACGCTTTTCTCGACGCTGCAGAGCACATCAACTACCACATCATTGCTCTGCAGGAAACGAAGTCCAGGAAGAAGGACGTGCGACAGATGAGTGATGGGACCCTCATCATTCGTGGTGAAAAGGTTCCATCACGAAACGTGGGAGGCGTCGGCTTTGTCGTCCACCCGTCTATCGTCCATCTTGTCGATTCGCACGAGATCCTATCACCTCGACTAGGCATCCTACGACTACGACCTCCACATCAGAAGACCATCAGCATCATCAACTGCTATTCTCCAACATCAGCAGCTGACGAATCAGAACTAGATGCTTTCTACGAAGATGTGGAGGAGGTCGTCCGCAACGAGAAGTCCTTTTACAAGTTTGTTGTGGGCGACTTCAACGCGAAAATCGGGATGCCACTGGAAAGGGAATATAGGATCGGGAAGTTTGGATATGGGCTCCGGAACGAAAACGGCAACCGTCTTGTTGGGCTTCTCTCCGCCGCACGACTTTTCCATGGAAATTCCATCTTTATGAAGAAGGAACATCGCCGGTGGACATGGGAATCGCCCAACGGAACGACCCACGCGGAGATCGACCACATTCTCACCAACCGAAGGTGGAGCTTACTCGATGTCTCTGTAGTTCCATCCTTCTGTAGTGGCTCCGATCACCGCCTCCTTCGAGCGAAGATACGACTCAGCCGAAGGCTGGAAAAGAAAGTCTGTCATAGTGCCGCGAGAAGGAAGGAAGTCGTTTATGACGGTAACAGGCTGGAAGAGCTCATATCAAGTTGTGACTGGCCCATCGAGGAGGACCCAACGTACGACTACGACCGGCTTCTGAAAGGATTGCGAGCCTGCGGAGAATGCGCCTCAGTGACTTCTGAGAAGAACTTGGACCGCATCTCGAAGACCACTAAGGAATTGCTCGAAAGAAGAAGATCATTGAGGCAGGATCCGAATGCAACTCATCTCGAGCGACTGATTGCCAACACCAGTTGCAGAACAGCTTTGCGAGAGGATCTCAGGAAGTACAGGCAAGCCAAGATACTGGAAGCAGCAGAAAGAAGACGAAGTCTCAAGAAGTGCCGAAGGGACCTCTGCGAATATCACGTACCGCTGGCTGCACTACTGAACGAAGACGGGACTCCGACTTCTTCCCGATACAAGATGGAATCTATCGCGAAGAACTTCTACACCAACCTCTTCCGCTCATCAACACCCGTGCAGATGCCCGTTGTTCCCACTGAAGAAGTACCACCACGAATTCTACCTGCTGAAGTGCGTATCGCGATACAGACCATGAAGACGTCCACGGCTCCAGGAGAAGGAGAAGATTCCCGACCAGTGGAGAACGTCAAGAACCGTCCTTCTCTTCAAGAAGGGTGAACGGGAGGATCTTCGGAACTATCGTCCAATATGCTTGCTGAGTGTGCTGTACAAGCTTTTCACGAAGATTATCCTCGCTCGCATATCAAGGACACTGGATGAAGCCCAACCCCAAGAACAAGCTGGATTTCGCAAAGGATTCAGCTGCATGGACCACATCCAGACCGTTTCGAGGGTCATAGAAGTCTGCCGGGAGTACCGACTGCCTCTCGTCCTAACCTTTGTCGACTACGAGAAAGCCTTCGACAGCGTCGAAACCAACGCCATCCTGTCTGCGCTAGTCGATCAAGGAGTGGACCCAGCTTACGTGAGGACGTTAGCCGACTGCTACAAGGACTGTACAACGACGATACAGCTACTCCATCGCCCCCTGACCATACCAATCGGGAAGGGGGTCCGACAAGGCGACACAATCTCGCCGAAGCTGTTCACCGCGGCCTTGCAGTGGGTGATGAAGTCACTGGACTGGGACGAGAGAGGCATACGAGTTGATGGGAGATTCCTGTCCAACCTTCGTTTTGCGGACGACATCGTTCTCTTCTCGAGCAGTATCACCGAAGCAGAGACGATGCTGAAGGAACTAAACGAAGTAGGGAAGAAGATCGGACTGCGAATAAATCGGAAGAAGACTCAGTTCATGAAGAACGCCTTTTGCGAAGATGCAGAAATGGAATTGGAAGGCACCCCGATTATGGCTACGTCTTCCTACGTGTATCTCGGACGTTCGATGAACATGGAGAACGACTTGAGGGAAGAACTCAACAGGAGAAGAAGAGCAGCCTGGGCCGCCTTCGGGCCCCTGAACGAAGCCACCGACCAACTGACGGACCCGGAGCTTCGTGCCCACCTGTTCGACTCAACCGTTCTCCCGGCGCTCTGTTACGCAGCTGAGACTTGGGCCGACACTGTAGCCACGTCGAAAGCTCTACGGACCACCCACAGAGCGCTCGAGCGCAGTCTTCTGAAGATGACCCGACGCAAGCAACATCTAGTCGGACTTCGCAGCACGGATATGAGAAGAATGTCCCGTCTTCGTGACCCAGCGGAATACGTCGCGAAAGCCAAACGCCGATGGGCCGGTCACATAATGAGAAGAACAGACGACAGATGGACACTAAGAACATCGGAGTGGATTCCTCGCGAAGCCAAACGTCCCCGAGGAAGACCTCCAACGAGATGGGCAGACGTGTTCGTGGAACGGATGGACCAGCTGAGAAATCAGCTGGATACGATTTTTGCACCTGGAACTCGTGGACGCAGCCACCGACGTCAGCCAAGAAGATCGTGGATGTCAGAAGCGAGGGACAGGGAAAAATGGAAACTTCTGAGCTGGGGCCCGCACGTCACGTGAAGCCGGGCCATCTAAGTATCTAAGTATAAGTAAGTATATGCATGATTATCATGTCAAATAATCCCTGTAAACCAACTTTGAGCGAATTCTGAAGTCTGCAAATACTAGGCCACTTAGCGAAATGGTCGTTTCTAAACACAATTAACTTTGTTCCAAAGGGAACTGCTACCCTTTTCGCACTCAGTATAAAAGCACTATTCTTTGTTTGCCCATCACAGAAATCTCGCCTTCAAATCTCCAAAGTGTGAAATTAGAAGCAAGCCAAAGTTTCGTTTGTCTCATTTTTCGACTTCGATGACTGTGTTTTCACCAACTATCACTTAAAGGCAGTGGATCGGCAGAATTAGACCCGTGGCAAAACAAGGTCATAGGGTAGGAGCCCCCATAATGGATCCTATGGACCAAAGTTCGATCTTTCCCTGCCACCTAACCCCCGAAATTTCAAAGCGAATTCAGCGCTCTCATCTACTCCCCTCTCCTACCCCGCTCACCCCACGGACGAGTGAACGCGAGGCTACCATGGCGAAGACGCAGAGTCGTTGCGGGACTCTTATGCTTATAGCATTGCGGCATCGCGCTCTGACCGTGGAAGTCACTCGTCCATGGGGCGCGGGGTCGGAGAGGAGAGGGATGAACGCTGCTTTCGCGTTGAAATTTGCGTTAGAAGTGGCGAGAAAGATCGGACTTTGGCCGATAGGTTCGGGGGCACCTACTCTGTGGCCTTGTTTTGCCACGGGTCTCATTCTGCCGACCCACTGCCCTTAACAGGGAAGGATACTTGGTGACCTCGGCCATTCATAATGGTTATATTTCAAAAAATCTTTTTGATGCTGGTTCAAACACTGTTTTCCATATTTGCGAAACGAGAACCTGGATGGAGTTATAATTATTTTTTCAAGAATAAATTGCCCTACTGCGGAGGGTGAAAATCATTACCAAAAATTCTTTACTCTTCAGATGCTAAATATGATTTAGATAATTATAAATACATTGTACACTTTTTAAGATTTTCCTCAATAGCCTCAAGCGGTAAAACAGACCAATGTAATTTTAACTACCTAAAAGTACGCAAATTTTTACGAAAAAAAGTTTCTGTCTTCATATGATCATTTCGATTTCGAGCAAAGATTTAGAATCAGCGTTTCGAGGTGACCTTATGGTACACATCGCATACCAAATGGCCAGGTCATCAAGTATCCTTTCCTTGTTAGAGCAGAGAAGACGTATCGGGCTCAATTTGCTTTTGCGACATCTACGAGGTATATGCTATCGAATCATATGAATACCACTCGCTAAAAAAATTTTTGATAAGTTAATGGAAGGTGGTGGCATAGCCTTGAAAAGCTGACTGCCACCCCTTTTTAAGGGTTGTGCTACATTACATTAGCTTACTTTCAAAGTTTCTAAATATCCGTGTTTTCTATACCTTTGTAATTCTAAACCTTCTTTGTTACACACAGTAGGAGTTTTATTCGAAATCATTCGTTCTAGGGAAAAATAGAATCGTTTTTCCTTACCTATGCAAATACGGTAACATGCTAAGTCTGCGCTACTACTGCGAGGGAAAGCGACAAGAATACATTCACTCTGTAGTCTGAACATCGTAATTCTCACGAAAGTGATTTGAACCCGATTGAATTGTTCTAGTGTGAAACATTTGAATCGAAAAACGAGACAAACGAGATAATGGCTTGCTTTTAGCCGCATAGTTAGGCGATTTCTTGGAGCGGGATTCTGAGGTGGACAAAGAAGGAGTAGTGCTTTTTCTTAAGTGGAAAAAGAGGTAGCTATGCTTTTGAAACAGAGTTGATTGTGTTCGAAAATGGACCCCCTTTGGCGTGCCACACCTCAGGCGTTACCCTGGTTATGATTGTCGGGCAGGGGGAGGGGAGGCGCCCTGGGAAATTGGGTGGCAAACAACCTGAAAGTGCTTCACTTGAGGTTAAAAATGCGCAAGTGTCTTGTTTTTATGTGTTAGTAAAAAAACACTTTGGGCATTATTGAAAATTTGGGGTGTGGCTGCCTCCTTCTGCTAAGTTCTGAAGGTCAGTCCCACTACTTTTTGAAAAGCCTATAAAATCATTTTAGAGAATAGCCTCTTCTCAAAAAAAAAACCTGTCTTCCCTTTCCCAAATAAATTGCTAAGAACACCTCTGGTACGTCGATTAGAGACTACTATTAGGTCGTGCAACACGTTCTGTCCTTTTTGTTTCAGTTTTTTCTTGGCAACATTGACTACATTTGAGATAAGGTGTGTATGTATTTGAAAGCTCTAAGTCTGCTCTGCATGCATCAATCTCCAACATAGCAGAAAATTGAAAAAAAATTTTATCATTGAAACAAGAAATCCAAAGAGCCGAAAAATCAATTTTCGACATCTTTTTCCTCCAAATTTTTCTCGATTTTTATTAATAAAACTTATTAACACGTTTCGGACCGCGAAATCGCGCGCGGCAAAAAAGAGTGTACTTTCAGCCGTTAGCCTACAAAGGGACCTTATTTCGCAGCCTGTGGGCCACATTTGTAATCAGCAAGATAAGCCCCACATCCAATGTTCTGAGTGGATTCGAAGTTTTTGAAATTTGTCGCTTGAAAGGGACTTTTGTGCTTTCTTGAAAGATAGGAGTAAGAACTCAGTTTCAAATAGTATTCAAAAGTATCTATGTTGTACACGGTGCACATCATTATTGAAACTACGGTTTTTCTCTTTGGAATCGAAGCGAAGAAAAGTTGCGACGTCGCACGCGTCATTCGCATTGCCGCACTTCGTTGCAACTGTTGTTGGATTTGTCCTCATATCTCCTAAACAAATATGCGCGGCACAGCTCTAAAGAGTCATTTGAAAAGTAGGAGCTTAGACCTTTGACTTAACAACTTTGGACTAAAAGGAAACCTCATGTAAACGCCAGAAAGATCCTTAGCAGAGTGCTGCACCATATGCAGCACCGGTCCGAAACTTGTTAAACAAGCTTGGCAACAACCAAAACAATTTATTAGACTTTTACACCTATTCTATCACTGTTTGCGCATGTTCCTTCCTTCTATGGGCTATTTATTGGCATTTTTTAAAAGTTGGCAAGGCAAGACTTTGTCACGGCGATGTTCACCGTCTCGCGTATCCAAGTTGTGTAGCTCCCAAAATTCCAATTCTGACTACGAATTCGATGATTTTGAAGCCAATAACCAACCCTTCTATCTATTCTAGATAATCCGACTACCGTCTTAACTCAGGATGCCTTCAGATGATGCCCAACACCAACGTTGAAAAGGCGTTAGAAAGAAGACTTTTCTAAAGTCTGCACAAATGATTTTTGGAAAGTTTCAACACTCCTGAAGCGCACTAGAAGCTAGAGCGCTCTTTGCTTACGTTTAGCAAATTCTTTGAGCTTATTCGTAGGCATTCTGACTAATTAGGAAGGCAACGTAACGTAGTTGTCGAAAATGGACTTTTTCCCTTTGACTTTCAAAATTTGAGGCTGTAAAACTTTTTCAATTCATCTGATGTAGAAAATCGAGATGAAAGTCTTAGTAGAGAAGGCTTAGAGCTTTCGAACGCATATAAACAATTTACAGAACATCGCGCAAAATATTGAGAAAAAACGAAAGAAGAAGCGGCACAGAACTTATTACACAACCTATTAGTATTCTGAACCAAAATCATTCTGCTTCTGACACAAAATCATTTGATTACATTTCATCTTCGACATGGCTCTTTAGAGTGATAATCAAACCAAAATTTATGAACACGATAGGCAGTGGCGAAAGCTGAGCTAAGTAGCTCAAAATGTTGCTGAAAGCAATTTCTTTTAACGCTACTTTTCCGAAATTCTGGTATGGTACTTTTGGCATCGTTATCCTCTTGAATAGCTTTCCATACCATATTTGCTATCAAAAAATTCCTAGTGTTAATGTAATCTTTTGCCCTCTGTTCTAAAATTAATACAATCTTGTCATGTGTAGAGTTCAAAGTGTGAAAGTTCAGATAAACGGTTTCTCCGCTAGAAATTATAAAACATATGAGACATGGGAAGCGATATCAGATACAGGGACATCGCTGATTTCTGGACTACCCATGGTAGTTGCAAAGCTAGCCGAACGATTGCATGCACAGGTAAAATATAAGGTTGTCAAAAAAATTGGTCTGTATTACTTAAGTGTGAAAATGATTTGCGCTCGATTATCAAAGGAAGTGAATTTTCCAAAAAACCCCTAATGCCGCCAGCAGCTAAATTTATAAGGGAAATGGAGAATAAGTCTCAGGGCCGCATGCACTAACCTCCCCGCGAGGAGGGGATCGCAGCTTAAAAGAAAGCTTTATATTTCGAAATCCAGATACCTGGATTTCACGTTGTGTACCTATCCGTAAGTATTCCTACTACCCTTCCCTATGAACATGTTGAAGAGGAGCGAGAAACTGTACAAACCGCATTTTCCAGCTTTTGTATGATCCCTGATGATCGATCCCCGGTGCTTTTTTTAAAGTCATTTTTCTTTCTCCGAAGTTAACGAAAACTTTCCAAAACTGTGCTGAACATCTATACAACAGTGCTAAGCATGTTGCTGATGAGAACCAATGAGTTTTTGAAAAGTCGAATTTTTCGGTAAACCTCAAATTTCGACCTGTGGATCATCGAAAATTTCTGACTTCAAAACATCATCTTATCACGAACATGCTTAGCACTGTCGGGTTGGATAATCTGCACAACTTTGGAGGTTTTTCGTTAGCTTCGGAGAAAGAAAAATGACTTTAAAGAAAAGCGCCGGGGATCATCAGGGATCCCCCACAATGGTCGGCCGCCTCATCGTGGCGTGGGGGTGACACTGGGTGTCGAACTGCGATGCACAGCCGAGTGTATACTCTGGCAGGGCCTCCCAAGCTGTGAAGGAGTTCGACGTTTCCGGTTTCGGCCGGATGCCTAGCTAAGAGCCGGCCAGGCCAGATCCGCCGCCGTCTGGTTTTCAGGTCGCTAGGCGGTTCTCCCCGCTCCAAGCCCGGGGTCAGCGATCACCCCGTGGAAATCAAGAGTTGGCCTAGTAAGTCTGCTCTTGTAGGGGAAAAATTTCATTACTCTACCAGTTAGAAGAATAGAAAGAAACCCTGTACATCGGATCCCGCCTACGGCGCCGGGTGGTAGCAAGACTGATGTCAGGGTCCTCAGGGCGTCTTTTGGATTGGACAAAAACGACACGTCTGCCCGGACGACACGCCACGGAGACTGCCTCATGCTCTGCACCTACAACGCCAGGACAGTCTCCACAAACGCCGACCTCCACGCTCTTCTCGACGCTGCAGAGCACATCAAGTACCACATCATCGCTCTGCAGGAAACGAAGTCCAGGAAGAAGGACGTGCGACAGATGAATGATGGAACACTCATCATTCGTGGTGAGAAGGTTCCATCACGAAACGTGGGAGGTGTTGGCTTTGTCGTCCACCCATCTATCGTCCATCTTGTCGATTCGCACGAGATCCTATCACCCCGACTAGCCATCCTACGACTACGCCCTCCACGTCAGAAGACCATCAGCATCATCAACTGCTACTCTCCAACATCAGCAGCTGACGACTCAGAACTAGATGCTTTCTACGAAGACGTAGAGGAGGTCGTCCGCAACGAAAAGTCCTTCTACAAGTATGTTGTGGGCGACTTCAATGCGAAAATCGGGATGCCACTAGAAAAGGAATATAGGATCGGGAAGTTTGGATATGGGCTTCGGAACGAAAACGGCAACCGTCTTGTTGGGCTTCTCTCCGCCGCACGACTTTTCCATGGAAATTCCATCTTTATGAAGAAGGAACATCGCCGGTGGACATGGGAATCGCCCAACGGAACGACTCACGCGGAGATCGACCACATTCTCGCCAACCGAAGGTGGAGCTTGCTCGATGTCTCAGTAGTTCCATCCTTCTGCAGTGGCTCCGATCACCGCCTCCTTCGAGCGAAGATACGACTCAGCCGAAGGCTGGAAAAGAAAGTCTGTCACAGTGCCGCGAGAAGGAAGGAAGTCGTTTACGACGGTAACAGGCTGGAGGAGCTCATATCAAGATGTGACTGGCCCATCGAGGAGGACCCAACGTACGACTACGACCGGCTTCTGAAAGGATTGCGAGCCTGCGGAGAATGTGCCTCAGTGACTTCTGAGAAGAACTTGGAACGTATATCGAAGACCACCAAGGAATTGCTCGAAAGAAGAAGATTTCTGAGGCAGGATCCGAATGCAACCCATCTCGAGCGACTGATAGCCAACGCCAGTTGCAGAACAGCTTTGCAGGGGGATCTCAGGAAGTACAGGCAAGCCAAGATACTGGAAGCAGCCGAAGAAAGACGAAGTCTCAAGAAGTGCCGAAGGGACCTCTGCGAATATCACGTACCGCTGGCTGCACTATTGAACGAAGACGGGACTCCGACTTCATCCCGATACAAGATGGAATCTATCGCGAAGAACTTCTATACCAACCTCTTCCGCTCATCAACACCCGTGCCGATGCCCGTTGTTCCCACTGGAGAAGTACCACCACGAATTCTACCTGCTGAAGTGCGCACGGCGATCCAGACCATGAAGACATCCACGGCTCCAGGACCAGACCATCTTTCCGTCGAATTTCTGCGAGCCGGAGGACAACGTCTACACGAGATTCTCGCATCGCACCTGACATCTTACCTTCAGAAGGAGAGGATTCCCGACCAGTGGAGAACGTCAAGAACCGTCCTTCTTTTTAAGAAGGGTGAACGGGAAGATCTTCGAAATTACCGTCCAATATGCCTGCTGAGTGTGCTGTACAAGCTCTTCACGAAGATTATCCTCGCACGCATATCTAGGACACTGGATGAAGCCCAACCCCAAGAACAAGCTGGATTTCGCAAAGGATTCAGCTGCATGGACCACATCCAGACGGTTTCGAGGGTCATAGAAGTCTGCCGGGAGTACCGACTGCCTCTCGTCCTAACCTTCGTCGACTACGAGAAAGCCTTTGACAGCGTCGAAACCAACGCCATCCTGTCTGCGCTAGTCGATCAAGGAGTGGAACCAGCTTACGTGAGGACACTAGCCGACTGCTACAAGGACTGTACAACAACGATGCAGCTATTCCATCGCCCCCTAACCATTCCAATTGGGAAGGGGGTTCGACAAGGCGACACTATTTCGCCGAAGCTGTTCACCGCGGCCTTGCAGTGGGTGATGAAGTCACTAGACTGGGAAGAGAGAGGCATACGAGTTGATGGGAGATTCCTATGCAACCTTCGTTTTGCGGATGACATCGTCCTTTTCTCGAGCAGTATCACTGAAGCAGAGGCGATGCTGAAGGAACTAAACGAAGTAGGGAAGAAGATCGGACTGCGAATAAATCGGAAGAAGACTCAGTTCATGAAGAACGCCCTTTGCGAAGATGCAGAAATGGAATTGGAAGGCACCCCTATCATGGAGACGTCTTCTTACGTGTATCTCGGACGTTCGATGAACATGGAGAACGACTTGAGGGAAGAACTTAACAGGAGAAGAAGAGCAGCCTGGGCCGCCTTCGGGCCTCTGAAGGAAGCCACCGACCAACTGACGGACCCGGAGCTTCGTGCCCACCTGTTCGACTCAACCGTTCTCCCAGCGCTCTGCTACGCAGCTGAGACTTGGGCCGACACCGTAGCCACGTCGAAAGCTTTAAGGACCACCCACAGAGCGCTCGAGCGCAGTCTTCTGAAGATGACCCGACACAAGCAACATCTAGTCGGACTTCGCAGCACGGATATGAGAAGAATGTCCCGTCTTCGTGACCCAGCGGAATACGTTGCGAAAGCGAAACACCGATGGGCCGGTCACATAATGAGAAGAACGGACGATAGATGGACACTAAGAACATCTGAGTGGATTCCTCGCGAAGCCAAACGTCCTCGAGGAAGACCACCGACGAGATGGGCAGACGTGTTCGTGGAACGGATGGACCAGCTGAGAAATCAGCTGGATACGATTCTTGCCCCTGGAACTCGTGGACGCAGCCACCGACGACGACCAAGAAGATCGTGGATGTCCGAAGCGAGGGACAGGGATCAATGGCGACTTCTGTACTGGGGCCCGCACGTCACGTGAGGACGGGCCATCTAAGTATCTAAGTAAGTAAGTATCATCAGGGATCATACAATAGCTGGAAAATGCGGTTTGTACAGTTTCTCGCTCCTCTTCAACATGTTCATAGTGAAGGGTAGTAGGAATACTTACGGATACGTATACAACGTGAAATCCAGGTATCTGGAGCTTCGAAATATAAAGCTTTCTTTTAAGCTGCGATCCCCTCCTCGCGGGGATGTTAGTGCATGCGGCCCTTAAAACGCTGAGACGCGAGAATTGAATTGCAGCGTAATCTTTGTTCCACGGCACTTCGCAATTCATATTCGCTAATAAAAAAATTGCATGCAACAAACTCGGTGAAGTCCGGAACGAGGGCATACGGCCACGACAGCGAACGCATGCGTGGACGTACGCGCCCCAACGATAAAAAATATTCGAATGCCGCGTCTGCAAGCGCTTGACAAGTACCGCCCGCTATCGTCAGGGACCAGACTCTACTTGCAAAACAAATATTCTACGATTTCATTCCAGCTCAACCTCTCCTACTCCCTCTACATACTCGACTGCAATGCTGACGCTGAAGTGACCATCACAATCGCTGGAAAGGACTACCCTATTACGGCTAAAAACTTGCTCGTCCACATTAACCAAAAAACTTGCATTTTGGGACTCAAGCCAAGAATCGGCGCTTCTTTGGGACCACAATGGATTCTTGGTGGCCCATTTCTGCGGGAATACTGCAATATTCATGACATAGCCAACAAAAGGATCGGTTTCGCTAGACCAGTTGAAAACTAATAATCTTGATTCATTGATTCTATAATAAAATTTAGCAAGGGTTTGCACTTACTTGTTGACAAGTTGCGGAATAAGCGAGTGATTGCGGTGGGTCGAGAGTACAGATTTGCATGAAGGCTAGCGTGTTTTAGGGGTAAGCATGGTTCCTCCTCGAGGAGTGTTTTCGAAAGGAGTGCGCCTATTAAGTGCGAAAGAATTATATGGGCCGTCCACGCAGGGCACGAAGAGTGCGCAAAGTGTGTACCGCGCGCCACTTCTCATTTCTCGCTCACTCACACGGCTTGTTTTCTCTGCGCTTTTTCATGAACTGTATTCGATGGACGCGACAGCGTTGCTCTCCGCGCACGGCGACGATCTATAGTTTCGGAGATGCGACACTCTCGTTGGTTGTTAACACCTCCTTCCCTCTCCTCTCTTTCACAAGTCTGTACTACATGCGTATGATTGATCCCGAGACTTGTTGTTTTGAGTTTTTGCTATTAGCATCACCTATTTGCTTTTCAACATGCTGTAGTAGTCCCTCACATGTTCATGATAGTCTGTCCACTTTCTCTTTCTGCTAAAGTATCCGTGGCTGCCCTGCTATTAAACAAAAGTCCTTGATGACTAATGAGGACACTTCTTTCGTTCTTCCTCGAAATCTGTTTGTAACACTTCTTATAGGTTTTTGAGCAGTTGTTAGGTCCTTCATTTTTTCTCAGTACTTCGGTCTTTGGCAGCCTTAGCAAATTTTACGTAAGCGGCTCGTAGGGCAGTATGCTTGTAGGGGTTGTGGGCAGTTTTTTTTTTAGAATTTCGTGCTGCAGGCTCCCCATAGGGCCGTCATGACCAGGGTCAAGCGAGAGGTGTGGCACATGACTGGTTACGACCCCCCTCTGATTGCTGTCTCAATAAGAGCCCCCCCCCTGTAAATTTCAACTCAGTTTAGGCGGAAATCGGACGGGCGAGAGTCCGCCTCGCGACTATTCGCCCGCTTTGCAGTCTGCTTCTCTTCTGAGCCAGTGGTGGCGCGCGTGAGCGATACTTCACTTGTGGCTGCCACACCTTTTGAGGGGTTGTGCCACACCCCAATAACTATATCAAAAAACATTTCTAGCGAACAGTATTCATATGAAACGATAGCCTAAACCTCGATTTCATAGAAGTGATTTGGACCTGATTCGTCTTCTTAGCTCTGAGTAATATTTGGTGAAAGCACAGCCATCAAAATCGAAAAATGGGAAAAACGAGATTTTGGTTGGCTTCTAATTCCACAGTTTGGAGGTCTTTTGAAGCGGAATTTCTGAGGTGGACAGAGAAAGAGTAGTGCTTTGTCTTGAGTGCAGAAACGGATAGCTAACTCATCTTCGAAACAAAGTTAAACTTGTTAGATGAGTATTTCACATATGTGGCCTAATACCTCGAATCTTCAGAATTCGCTCAAACTTTGTCTACAGGGGTTAACTGTCATGCTAAATATGGATTTGATACTCATTAAACAACTTCGTAGTACGTCTTTTTTGGGCTGAGGTAGTCAATCTCTCATGTGCTTGTTCGCATAACGGGGTTACCTGACAAACTGCTTGCGAAGATCATGGTATCACTATTATCAGGTTATCCAACTACGACCCCCCCACCCTCCCTGTCGACTCCTCAATACGACCCCCAGATATGGCGTGCCACACCCCACGCTTGACCCTGGTTATGATTATCGGTCTGGGGAGGGAGGGAGGGGGGGGGGGGGGGGGTGTGACACCACGTTCTTAGGGCCGCATGCACTAACATCCTCGCGGGGAGGGGATCGCAGCTCAAAAGAAAGCTTTATATTTCAAAACTCCACATATCTGCATTTCACGTTGTGTACCTATCCGTAAGTATTCCTAACCCTTCACTATGCACATGTTGAAGAGGAGCGAGAAGCTGTACGAACCGCATTTTCCAGCTATTGTATGATCCCTGATGATCCCCGGCGCTTTTCTTTAAAGTCATTTTTCTTTCTCCGAAGTGAACGAAAACCTTCCAAAGTTGTACTGAACATCTAACACAATAGTGCTAAGCATGTTGCTGATAAGAACAAATGATGTTTTGAAGTCATGAAATTTTCGACGATCCATAGGTCGAAATTTGAGGTTTACCAAAAAATTCGACCTTTCAAAAACTCGTTTGTTCTCATCAGCAACATGCTTAGCACTGTTGTGTTAGATGTTCAGTACAACTTTGGAAGGTTTTCGTTAACTTCGAAGAAAAATGACTTTAAAGAAAAGCGCCAGGGATCACCAGGGATCATACAAAAGCTGGAAGATGCCGTTCGTACAGCTTCTCGCTCCTCTTCAACATGTTCATAGTGAAGGGTAGTAGGAATACTTACGGATAGGTACACAACGTGAAATCCAGGTATCTGAAGTTTCGAAATGTAAAGCTTTTTTTAAGCTGCGATCCCCTCCTCAGCGGGGAGGTTAGTGCATGCGGCCCTTAGAATATCGGTCTGCAAGAAGTCACAGAGCGGCCTTAGTGATACTGATCGTAGTTGATAGTGCTCTTCATCTCGTTTTGTGCCAGTTCAGTGAATTCTTTTTCAAACATGACTTCGGCGGTGTTTTCTTCATCTTCTCCATGGACATCAAATGATTTATCCATGAGCAAACCAACATGGATTTCTTCGCCATCCAGTTGAAATTTGGGAATTCTGCTTCCATTTTAGGCCTTGCGTTGGAAAGCGTATTTTGGCGTTCCAGTTGTGCTAACCCGTTCTCAACATCTGTCATGCGCTCTTGCAGAACATAGGGAAAATTCTTAGCGTCATTCATAGTTGTAAAATCTTATCTCTTCTTCGTGCGCTTCCAATCCTCCGCCATTGACTTCTTCGCACTTCGGATTCAACTTTCTCGATCCTTTCCATCAATATCTCGTAGTCCATTTGTAGCTATTCAGTGCTATCTTTGACTTTTATTGTGCATTCTATTAGTGAATCCAGATGTTCATGGCATAGATCTTGGCGCATAAAAGGCGTAAAAGGCGTGAAAAGGAAAATTCTTTTATTTCTTCGAATACCTCTGTAAAGAGGCGATCTAGAATAAGAAGTCGTAGTATTCAAAAAATATCATTTTTCCCGAAACCTTGCAAGATTGTGACAGAACTCTTAAGACGTGTTGAATAATTTTAAAGTTCTCTGCTTTCTGCAGACTCTCTATGAAAGTGGGCTTTTAGAAGTCGCTTTCAGAAAAAGCATAAAACGTACAGTCTTCTTCAACACTAGACGAAACATTCCGAGTGGAGTAGCGCGCACGCGCCGCCACTGGCTCAGAATAGAAAGAAGAGACGCAGACTGCAAAGCGGCGCGAATAGTTGCGAGGCGGACTCTCGCCTGTCCAATTTCCGCTTAAATGATTTTATGATTTATTTGCCTTTCATATTATTACAATATGCGGTACCCAAACAAACTGATCCATTCCAAATTGAGTGGTCTTACTCTTAGTCAATTGCAAGTGCCAAGCTCCTTCTAAAATTCGTCTTTCCACCTCAGGGTTAGGGCCAATTCGAGTTGTGTTCTCTTCAAGGCTTCTTGCAGTTCTTGTAGTCGGACTTCGCTTGACAGGCGTCTCACGTTGAATGTTCCGATGTGTATACAGTAGTTGTTGGGGAGGAACATACTTGATCCTGCTGTTCCGGGGCTTCCTGGATCAAGGGTTCGACGTCTGGTAGGGTGGGGAAGAGCGGTCAAAATGACCGACCAGTCGAGGGACGTGTAGAGATGAACTCATTTCCGCTTAAACTGAGTTGAAATTTACTATAGAGGTATCTTGTGACTACAAGACGGCTAATTATGTATTTGTTCCCAACTACTCAGATAATCGCCGGGGGCAGGCGGTCCGCAAACTCGCGCTTTTCTGCAAGCGGTCAGCAGAATTTTGGGGCGTGGCCAAACCTTCAGCGAGCAGTACTTCCTTTGCTGTCGCATGTTCTGCCAGCAAGCAGCAACACAGAATTTTCTGCAGGCGCTCGTCAAATAGTCTCTTTCAGCGGGCGCTAGTCAAATTTTCAGCTGGCGCTCGGACGGTTTTCAAGCAGTTTCGGGCGTACGCCGAGCAAAGGTGAGACTCTACATGACAGAGGTGTCATCGATGGTTTAATTACTCAAGTTTGAGGTACTTTCTCTAAGCGGAAAGTACCTGGGGACTGCGCGGTCCTCCACAAAGGACCGTGCGGACCCCGAAAATTTCGCATATTCTCGCGAAAAGTTCGCGAGAATGCGGCCACTGCGCCGCAATTAATCTATAAGGAAATCGCGATTGTTCTCCAAGCATTCATCTAAATTTCGCTAAAATTCTTCCAAATGTCTGCAAGCGGACCGCAAGAAATCAGCGAACTATTTTTCCGGTGCCCGCCCGCCCATGAATCGCATGGCCGCCTGCCCCCGGCGATTATCTGAGTAACTTGCGAGCGGCCTGTAAAGAATATGTTCTCTTTTTCATAGTGATGAGATCACATTTGCACCTCTCTGCATAGTAACATGAGCATATCTGTACAACGGCAACTTGAGCTAGCATTGCAGACTGAGTCAACATTGCACATTGAGTCAACACTGCAGATTTACCGGTCAAGGTCAGAACAAGTCACTTACTTAACGAGATAAGAGCTCTCAAGGACCTACGGAAGTTATAGAAATCTAGTACCGATTTATGACTTAAGTGATCCTTTGTAAGAAAATTGTGACTGAGTATGTACATATTCATTGATAGGAAATGCTATGTAAGCAGCTCTGTGAAATGTTTCGATATCGCATTAATTCGCACCTTCGTCTATGTGGTTTCCTTCTTCCCATGGATATACCAGCCCGGCATGGTGATCCTCGGGGCCTTCCGGTGGCAAATCTTGATCTTCAGTTGTCACCGGCTGACAGCACCGGAAGCTCTGACGGATCCTCACGACAATTCCTTCTTTTCTCAATCATTCCCTCACAACTGCTATGTGTATCTTTTGACTCCATGTGCAACAGCGCCCTTTGTCATTGCCTTTTAGGG